CCCCCAACAGAAAAAAAGAGGAAATTATTTAAAAAATAAAGAAAAAATGTAAACAAATAAAATTATTAAAAATAAAGAAAAAGTTTGTAAAAAAAACCCAGTAAAAAGCCCACAAACCCCCTTCCCCACACACACATAAAATACACATGCACCATATTATAGTGTACGTCATGCACATGTGCTGCAGTGTGTTGTTAGCAGGGGCGGACTGACCATTCGGGCATTCGGGCACGGACCGAGGGCCCGCGGCCAGAAGGGGGCCCGTCACTGTCCCTCCCCTCCAGGTCTCTTTTCCCCTACTTCCAGCCTCAGAGCATGTGTCCGTGCCCAGCAGACCCTGCCGTCGGTTTACAAGTCTCATCTGACAGCCGCAGCTGCAGACGAGTGTCTCCTACAGTTGCGAGGTGAGACGGGGGAAGGGGAGGGGGTTTGGCAGAGGAGTGCTGTGTGGGAAAGTGAAAGTGAGATTCGTCCCGGCTTCTTCCTCACAGAAGCCGACCGAGTCTCTGCCTGTATACAGTGCCCTGGATAGCTAATATGTTGTGCTAGGTTGTCATAGACTGAAAATCAACATAGAAGCACCTCCTATTGCCTGTGGTGTGAATCAGTTAGTGATGAACAGTTATAAAATAAGGTGAGTCAATACAAAAATGTGCAATCAATTATTCCATAAAATGCCTGTCTGTGATCCTACATACATTCGCTGTGAGTGGGTACTCAAATCAGTGCTGTATATGTGACAGTATCATCTGTGACTGCAATCTGTATGGGAAATTGCAGGCACCTGTAAGTGTTAAAAAAAACGTGACTGTGCTTAAGCTCCAACAATCATAATCTGGAGTGTACATATATGGGCTGAGTCTGTAAATAAAATTCTTCTACAACACTTAATATATGCACCCATGCAGGGGCGGACTGACCATTCGGGCAGTCGGGCTCTGCCTGGAGGGCCCGTGGCCAGTAGGGGGCCCGTGGCCCCTTCTCCCCCATTACAGTTTACCTTCACCATCACCCTGCGCACATCCTGCTGGGATCGGTGTTCCCAGCATTCCGGGCCTGGATGAAGGGAGTAAGATGGGCAGAGTGATGGCAGGACGGGGGACACAGATCCAGGCCATGGAGAGGAAGTTGCGGAGTGGTGGTGGGGGGGCCCAGTATCCCACGCACACAAACTGCTACTGCCAGCGCAGAGACGGGGGGGCCCGCCGGCCGCCGGATACTGAGGAGGGAGCCGGAGGAGCTGCAGGCAGCCAGGTACGTGATGCGGCAGCCTGGAGCCTCTGTATAAAGTATTGCTGGTACTTGTAGTCCTCTATAGCAGGCACCATTCTGTATTGCAGCAATGCATAATAGAACCCTCTATAGAGGACTACAAATACCAGCAGTATTTTATACTGTAATGCTATTGCTGTTTAAAGTATTGCTGGCATGTGTAGTCCTCTCTAGCCTATGCCATTCTGCATTGCAGTAAAAAAGGATCCACCTATACCATACAGCTCCTCCTCCTTCCCACAGCCCGCACACCCATTGTGAGACCCAGCCGCCCGCACCCTCCGAACAGCCATGTTCTGACCCTGCCACCCACACAGCCCTGATGAGACAAGCACGCAGCCCTGATGAGACAAGCACGCAGCCCTGATGAGACATGCACGCAGCTCTGGTGAGACAAGCACGCAGCTCTGGTGAGACAAGCACGCCGCTCTGGTGAGACCCGGACGCAGCCCTGGTGAGACCCGCACGCAACTCTGGTGAGACAAGCACGAAGCCGTGAGTAGAGCAGGCAGCCCTGGTGAGACAAGCAGCCATGGTGAGACCCGCACGCAACCCTGGTGAGACACGCACGCAACCCTGGTGAGACCCGCACGCATCCCTGGTGAGACCCGCACTCAACCCTGGTGAGACAAGCACGCAACCCTGGTGAGGCAAGCACGAAACCCTGGTGAGACAAGCACGCAGCCACGCTGAGACAAGCATGCAGCCATGCTGAGACAAGCATGCAGCCATGCTGAGACAAGCAGGCAGCCATGCTGAGACAAGCAGGCAGCCCTGGTGAGACCCGCAGGCAGCCCTGGTGAGACCAACACCCAACCCTGGTGAGACAAGCACGCAGCCATGGTGTGACAAGCACGCAGCCCTGGTGAGACAAGCACGCAGCCCAGGTGAGACAAGCGGGCAGCCCTGGTGAGACTCGAACACAGCTTTGGTGAGGATCACACAGTCATGGTGAGGACCACACAGCCATTGTGAGACCTTCATAGTCCTGGTCACACCACTGACCTCTGCACTCTGTGTTACAACTTACCTCTGCACTCTGCGTCACGCCGCTGATTTCTGCACTCTGTGTCACCCCACTGACCTCTGCATTACAACTGACCTCTGCACTTCAGCAATGTATTATTTAAAATTTATTCTGCTGCATTAGGTCCTTCTGGGGAACCACACGGTGCCCACTTACAGGGCTTCTGCTCCCTGCACATCTTCCCTCCTGAGATCTTACGCAACCCTCCTGGGACCCTCTGCACCCCTCCTGAGACCCTCTGCCCGAGACATCAGGCCGGCACCTTGGAGCAGAGCGCCAGCACAGAGTATGTACCAAATTCATATACTATTATTCTGTATTGCTGTATAATGTATTGCTAGGATTTGTAGACCGCTATAGCTGATGGTATTCTGCATTAGAGTGTAAGCTCCTCTGTACAGAGACTGATGTGACTGGCTCAGTGTTCTCTGTACAGCACTACGGTATATGTCAGAGCTATAGAATTGTATAAAAATAAAAGTGTCTGACTGGGGGGAGATGTTTGGGGGGCCAGTGAGATCTGGAACCATCACCCCCTACCCCCTTGGGAGTGGGAAGTGGGCCGAGAAAAATATTGCACCAGGGTCCTTTGTTCCTTAGGTCCACCACTATGAACTGGAGGCAAAGGAGATGTAACAAGTGGTTGGGGGGGAGTTATGTAAAGGTGTAGGTAGCAGCAAATTCACAGGAGGTTAAACTGGAAAAATGAAGGTGGTGATAACAGTGAGTGTTTTACAGTTTGGGAAGCATTTCATATGGCAATAGCAGACATCTAAACTCTCCCAGATGTTCTGGGAGTCTCCCGCTATTAGATAGCGGCTCCCGGACAGCCGGGAGAGAAACATTTTCTCCTGCAAAAGTTTACTCTGCTCTATCTAGCAGAGTAAACCTTTCCCTTCTGTTTTTCTTGTGTTTTTTTTCTTGACAAAAAAAAACAGCATATGAATGAATAGCTAGATTGCTAATTTCAATTTGCAATAGCCAATAGCAGACTAGCCATTGCACCCGCCCACTGATGCTGTCAATCAGCAGAGTTGGACCTGAAGTTCTCCATCAGGTCCTCATCTGCTGATTGACAGCAGCAGAGGGCAGGTGCAATAGCCAGCTTGCTATTGGCTATTGCAAATTGAAACCAACTTACATTCAAGTACCTAATAAAAATGTATCTTATTTGTGTATCACTCGGCTGTAGATCCTCAAATAATCTCTGAATTGGTGCTGACACTGTCCTTCCTTCTGGAGGGGGGCTACTTTTGTTCGCCATGGTCCATGTGTGTGCTGTAACGTAGCCACCGCTCCAAGCTCACTCCCATGATGGACTACAATCTCTCTTTCTACTAAGGTTATAGTCTATCACAGGAGCGAACTTGGAAATGTGGCTGCTTAACCAGTTGACATCCGCGGTGTTAAACCCCCTTCCCATCCAGGCCATTTTTCAGTATTCAGTGCTGCGGTACTTTGACTGACATTTATTCCGTCATGCAGCGCTGTACTGAAATGAATTTTATACCCTTTTTTGGGGACAGATAGAGCTTTCTTTTGGTGGTATTTATTCACCACTGGG